GGGGGGGGGGGGGGGGGGGGGGGGTACTGCCATATATGGGCTATATAGGTATGTGCCGCTATGAAGGGTATGGTTTTCAAGCAGTTTGCTCTGGGATAGGGTATATAAATTAGAGAGTTTGGGTCTAGAATTGGGTATCATTTTTCAGGAAACTGATCAGTTGGTTGAAGATTTTATCCAGACTAGGGAAACAACTTCTCTAGGATAGGGGGGATTCGGGGAGTTTACTCTAGTATTGGGTAACAAAATTCAGCTGAACTAGCTCTGGTATAGGTTAAGGGTTCCAGGGTCCCAGCGGCACAACCCCACCCCGAAATTCCTAAAGTACCCCCCCTCCCGGGGCCGTAAGCAAATAATCAGATAACAGAATTAAAGAGAGGGAGGGGCAGAATATTGATCTTCAGTTCGAAGTGTTAATTTATGACTGAATTAGTCAAATGTAAAAAATATTTTTAGTGAAAGTATTAAAATAGCTTTATAGGTTTGAGTGTCAAACGCTGTACTGTGCGTGTCTTAGGGCAGTATCAGCATTTTTACTAGCCCGCGAAAACATCTTGCTCTTCGCCGCTGGAGACGTCCCCAGCGGCGAACAGCAAGGAGAAACGGATGTTTTCACAGTATCAGCATTTTTATTCCATGCAATTATAATTGTTTTGGCGGATTTAAGCGTCTGGTCTCGCTGATGTATCCCGCAAGGAGGTTTTTAATTACCTTGATCTTGCTAACGGGATAATTTCGTTAACTATGACGGAACTATGAACCGTTAGTTGGATTTTTTTTAGCACGGTTCTTGTTAACTACCATGAAATGATCTTTACCCCGCTTTACCTTGCCCTTGAAGGAAATTAGCACGAAAAGTGCAATAAAGAACATATTGTTCCACTTAGCTGCACAAATTTAAGTGCCGCCTTGTCTGAGAATTTCCATCCGGTTATCAAGTATCCGAACAAAGGCTTATCGCATCATTACACTCTCATTACAGCGTTAATCGTGGAAGTGCAAGTACACAAAACTCCATAAAGAATAGACGCACTCGATAGGAGTGCATCATTTAACGGCAAAACGATCAGCGAACCACACGCTACTGGCACAATCATGAGCTCCAAACCTCGTCGTGTTGGTCAATGGCTTCCCTCCGACCCTAAAGTTCTTGACGAATGGTTAGACAACTTGATCAAAAAAGTCAAAGCCGACTCGATCTGCCAAGGAAAGTTAAAGGCGATTGAGAATCAACACCCTCCAGCTAAAGACGAAGAAATAGCTGAAGCAGCCGTGGTTAAGCTTCCACCTCCACCTCCTCCTGCAGACGAACGGTATCGTCTCCATCCACCGGTTGAAGACTTGAAGAATGCCATTCTTACCGACCCTGAGATCAACATGTTTTTCCATCAAATGTTCTGGCAACAGTATTTACTCCCAGATTCTTCAGAAGGAGTCAAAATTCCGACCTGGCATTTGATGATTGTGTTGATCGACTACATCATGACAACTGCTCCTGAGTTCAACGAGTCTGGTTTGGTTGGCTTCCCCATCAATGTAATCTTGAACTGGCCGATGAATACCACTGCTGGCTTTGCTGCTTTCCTGAACGACAAAGTCAACAAGTTGTTCAAGGCGATTCTCAACTACTGGGCAGAAACCTGGCTGAACACTCCAAAATCTTGCTCTGTTTTGACCACGGAGTCACCTGGAGGTTGGTTTAGCGAAGAGGCAATGAAGCATATGCCAAACTTTGTTGAAGAATTTGAATGCCACCCAGAGCAACCCCATTATGGCTTTAAGTCATGGGACGATTTTTTTACCAGAAAGTTTCGGACGAAACCTGATGTTCGTCCAGTAGCATCCCCAGACGATGATTACATTGTTGCAAATGCCTGTGAATCGGCGCCGTACAAGTTGGCTATAAACGTTAAGCACAGGGACTTCTTTTGGATAAAAAAGCAGCGATACTCGTTGGATTTCATCCTGAACGGGAAAGAAAAAGCCCAGCCATTTTATGGTGGAACCTTGTACCAAGCATTTCTGAGCGCCACCAGTTACCACCGATGGCACAGCCCCGTGGCTGGTGAAATCGTTGGAACGGAGCTTGTGGATGGTTCCTACTACTCGCAAACCCACAACATCCAGGACGACCCCGCATCACCCAACATGTCACAGGGATACATTGCTCAGGTAGCCGCCCGGGGTATTATTTACATTAAAGCTAAAAACCCTCATATTGGCTTGATGTGCTTCGTATCAATCGGTATGTCAGAAGTGTCTACCAACGAAATCACTGTTAAGAAAGGGGATAAAGTGAAGAAAGGCGACCAGCTTGGCATGTTTCACTTTGGTGGCTCCACGCATTTGCTGATATTCCGCCCAGAAGTGGACATCGAGTTTGATCTTGGAGGTCAAACACCAGGTTTGGATTCACATAATATCAACGTCAAAGCTAAGATTGCTGAAGTGAAAAAGCCAAAGAAGTGAGAAGAGTTGCGAGGATTTTGAAAGACATTGAACTGTTGTGAGTTTACATTCCTAATTTTAACTTACTACGTTAGGTTACGATATTGTGAGTGATTTTTAGCGTTGTAGAGAATTACCTGTAAACAGGGTGAAACCTTGAAAAAATCTTTTTCTTGCATAGAGCAGTACCAGAGAGGTAATTGCTGCGAGGTCGGTGTACCTTCCCTTCATTTGATTTTCAGAAAAAGTTAAAAATTGACAATCGATATGCTTAATTTTTTATTTTAAATTTTTGATTGTTAGGAAAAAGGAAAATTGAAATCATTTTTCAATTTCAGAAATCAAAAATTGAAAATTACAAAATTGGCGCTCCTGAATTCTGATTTTCGTTTTCTTGAAAACTAGAAAAAGAACAAAATTGAAGACTATTTTGATTTTTTTTGTTTCAACTACGTTTGGCCTGTCCCACGAAGTCAAAACTGTAAGAGTTGACAAAACAATTCATGTGTAACAAAAGTGCAAGAAACAGTACCAACACCGATAAAATGCTAAATGATAAGTCGCTTTTTGATTTTACTAATAATGGCACAACTCCATCCGCTCGGCTTTTGAACCACAAACAAGATGGCGGTGGCCTCAGGTCTCGTTCGGGTCAGTGTTCTTGGAGTTGTATGGTCTCAAGCGGAAATTTCACGCTAACGGTAGTGTTTTTGTTACGTGCAACAGCCTGTCTGTACCATGACCGAAACGTTTTCTAAGGAATGAACTCAATTTCTTGACCGGTGAGTATGCTTTAGTTTGAACGTGTGGGCTCATGTAACTCATGTGCGGTGTAAAACGGCACCAGTTACGTGCACAAGAAAATGTAGCTCTAAGTTTTGAGTCTGTAGATGAAATCCCGTGGTGCGACCATTTAAATGAGACCTCTTTGGCAGTACTTTCACATGGTACTATTTATTTAGTATGTCGCTCTAACTTTTGAGTCTGTTGATGAAATCCCGTGGTGTGACCATTCAAATGAAACCTCTTCAGCAGTACTTTACTGTGGTACTGTTTATTATGCTGTTCAAGGTAGTTCTAACTTTTGAGTCTGTGGATGAAATCCTATGGTGTGACCATTTAAATGAAACCTCCTTAGCAGTACTTTTGATTGGTACTATTCGATTTTATGTATTTTACAAAATTAAATGTAGGATTTTTCCCAAATTTTCGTTTTGGCCACTGTTAGGAATGAAAGGGTTAGCTTGATCATGGGTTTTGTAGAAGTTGAGATGCATGCAGTGTAGACCTTTGGGCTCAACATAGCAAGATACGTTTTGCATGCATGTTTTTGTAGCAGAAGCATTGCCTTAATAGTCATTTGTTGATAGCATTTTTCATTTTTCAATTACGTTTGTACTGGGGCACGATCGTGTTAATAACTTGTTGTTGTTTGTATAATGTCACTTAATAAAATTACCACATTTATCCGATGTTTTGTTGTGTATTGTGCGACAAGGAGTTTTAATCAGGTGCATGCACCAAGAGTTTTTTTAATTTGTCTCTTGCTCTATATAAAATACGATACCTTTACACTCGAGGGTGGGGGTTGACTTCTATCTGAAAAAGACCACGTTGCACGTCGAAAATTTTGAAATTGACCCCTAAAGGAGACCAATCTGATTTAAAAAATAGAATTTATTTTGCTAAATTTGTTCCCTAAAACCCTAAACGAGACTTTGAAGGCTAAAAGTATTCTTGGTTTTCACGTGACGTCAGAAAAAACTAAAATAAAAAAAAAATGAGTTTTTACATTCGTCAGCTAAAAGACATATTTAAACATATATCTGCTGGCCTGTTTTCAGCTTGGTAGCCTGCTTTGTTTTGAAAATAGAGCAGTTTGAATTTCACATGTTTTCACAATACGTAAAATCTACATTGTTTCTGAGTAGCATCACAGGCAGCCCAAGCTCTATATATGAATACTGCAGAATTCAGTATATTGACTCTGTATATTGTTTCGTAATTTGAATAATTTGCATATTTATAAAGTTTTTTATGAGAAAAAACAATAAGGCTGAAAATTGCGAAAAATTGCCCGCACCGGCGTATAAAGACTAGGAAAAAGAAGCGGCGAGATAAAAACCTTTGCTAGCAGGGTATTTCGACCTGGCATTTGATGATTGTGTTGATCGACTACATCATGACAACTGCTCCTGAGTTCAACGAGTCTGGTTTGGTTGGCTTCCCCATCAATGTAATCTTGAACTGGCCGATGAATACCACTGCTGGCTTTGCTGCTTTCCTGAACGACAAAGTCAACAAGTTGTTCAAGGCGATTCTCAACTACTGGGCAGAAACCTGGCTGAACACTCCAAAATCTTGCTCTGTTTTGACCACGGAGTCACCTGGAGGTTGGTTTAGCGAAGAGGCAATGAAGCATATGCCAAACTTTGTTGAAGAATTTGAATGCCACCCAGAGCAACCCCATTATGGCTTTAAGTCATGGGACGATTTTTTTACCAGAAAGTTTCGGACGAAACCTGATGTTCGTCCAGTAGCATCCCCAGACGATGATTACATTGTTGCAAATGCCTGTGAATCGGCGCCGTACAAGTTGGCTATAAACGTTAAGCACAGGGACTTCTTTTGGATAAAAAAGCAGCGATACTCGTTGGATTTCATCCTGAACGGGAAAGAAAAAGCCCAGCCATTTTATGGTGGAACCTTGTACCAAGCATTTCTGAGCGCCACCAGTTACCACCGATGGCACAGCCCCGTGGCTGGTGAAATCGTTGGAACGGAGCTTGTGGATGGTTCCTACTACTCGCAAACCCACAACATCCAGGACGACCCCGCATCACCCAACATGTCACAGGGATACATTGCTCAGGTAGCCGCCCGGGGTATTATTTACATTAAAGCTAAAAACCCTCATATTGGCTTGATGTGCTTCGTATCAATCGGTATGTCAGAAGTGTCTACCAACGAAATCACTGTTAAGAAAGGGGATAAAGTGAAGAAAGGCGACCAGCTTGGCATGTTTCACTTTGGTGGCTCCACGCATTTGCTGATATTCCGCCCAGAAGTGGACATCGAGTTTGATCTTGGAGGTCAAACACCAGGTTTGGATTCACATAATATCAACGTCAAAGCTAAGATTGCTGAAGTGAAAAAGCCAAAGAAGTGAGAAGAGTTGCGAGGATTTTGAAAGACATTGAACTGTTGTGAGTTTACATTCCTAATTTTAACTTACTACGTTAGGTTACGATATTGTGAGTGATTTTTAGCGTTGTAGAGAATTACCTGTAAACAGGGTGAAACCTTGAAAAAATCTTTTTCTTGCATAGAGCAGTACCAGAGAGGTAATTGCTGCGAGGTCGGTGTACCTTCCCTTCATTTGATTTTCAGAAAAAGTTAAAAATTGACAATCGATATGCTTAATTTTTTATTTTAAATTTTTGATTGTTAGGAAAAAGGAAAATTGAAATCATTTTTCAATTTCAGAAATCAAAAATTGAAAATTACAAAATTGGCGCTCCTGAATTCTGATTTTCGTTTTCTTGAAAACTAGAAAAAGAACAAAATTGAAGACTATTTTGATTTTTTTTGTTTCAACTACGTTTGGCCTGTCCCACGAAGTCAAAACTGTAAGAGTTGACAAAACAATTCATGTGTAACAAAAGTGCAAGAAACAGTACCAACACCGATAAAATGCTAAATGATAAGTCGCTTTTTGATTTTACTAATAATGGCACAACTCCATCCGCTCGGCTTTTGAACCACAAACAAGATGGCGGTGGCCTCAGGTCTCGTTCGGGTCAGTGTTCTTGGAGTTGTATGGTCTCAAGCGGAAATTTCACGCTAACGGTAGTGTTTTTGTTACGTGCAACAGCCTGTCTGTACCATGACCGAAACGTTTTCTAAGGAATGAACTCAATTTCTTGACCGGTGAGTATGCTTTAGTTTGAACGTGTGGGCTCATGTAACTCATGTGCGGTGTAAAACGGCACCAGTTACGTGCACAAGAAAATGTAGCTCTAAGTTTTGAGTCTGTAGATGAAATCCCGTGGTGCGACCATTTAAATGAGACCTCTTTGGCAGTACTTTCACATGGTACTATTTATTTAGTATGTCGCTCTAACTTTTGAGTCTGTTGATGAAATCCCGTGGTGTGACCATTCAAATGAAACCTCTTCAGCAGTACTTTACTGTGGTACTGTTTATTATGCTGTTCAAGGTAGTTCTAACTTTTGAGTCTGTGGATGAAATCCTATGGTGTGACCATTTAAATGAAACCTCCTTAGCAGTACTTTTGATTGGTACTATTCGATTTTATGTATTTTACAAAATTAAATGTAGGATTTTTCCCAAATTTTCGTTTTGGCCACTGTTAGGAATGAAAGGGTTAGCTTGATCATGGGTTTTGTAGAAGTTGAGATGCATGCAGTGTAGACCTTTGGGCTCAACATAGCAAGATACGTTTTGCATGCATGTTTTTGTAGCAGAAGCATTGCCTTAATAGTCATTTGTTGATAGCATTTTTCATTTTTCAATTACGTTTGTACTGGGGCACGATCGTGTTAATAACTTGTTGTTGTTTGTATAATGTCACTTAATAAAATTACCACATTTATCCGATGTTTTGTTGTGTATTGTGCGACAAGGAGTTTTAATCAGGTGCATGCACCAAGAGTTTTTTTAATTTGTCTCTTGCTCTATATAAAATACGATACCTTTACACTCGAGGGTGGGGGTTGACTTCTATCTGAAAAAGACCACGTTGCACGTCGAAAATTTTGAAATTGACCCCTAAAGGAGACCAATCTGATTTAAAAAATAGAATTTATTTTGCTAAATTTGTTCCCTAAAACCCTAAACGAGACTTTGAAGGCTAAAAGTATTCTTGGTTTTCACGTGACGTCAGAAAAAACTAAAATAAAAAAAAAATGAGTTTTTACATTCGTCAGCTAAAAGACATATTTAAACATATATCTGCTGGCCTGTTTTCAGCTTGGTAGCCTGCTTTGTTTTGAAAATAGAGCAGTTTGAATTTCACATGTTTTCACAATACGTAAAATCTACATTGTTTCTGAGTAGCATCACAGGCAGCCCAAGCTCTATATATGAATACTGCAGAATTCAGTATATTGACTCTGTATATTGTTTCGTAATTTGAATAATTTGCATATTTATAAAGTTTTTTATGAGAAAAAACAATAAGGCTGAAAATTGCGAAAAATTGCCCGCACCGGCGTATAAAGACTAGGAAAAAGAAGCGGCGAGATAAAAACCTTTGCTAGCAGGGTATTCTCTTTACGCCCGTGATCTGTTAAAATAGTTACCGCGTACAGCGTACATGACCTTTTGATGGTAGATATTGATTGCTGGACGGTTTATTCCGTGTTTCTAAGAGTCTCCCCACCTACCCCGACCCTAACTCAACAGGAATGCTAACTCATCACCTGCGGTAAACTCATCAGCTGGTTAGGGGAGGGGTATGTGGAAAGTTCATTTCCCAGAATCACACAGTGATCCATTCTAACCAACCTGTTGAACTGATGACTTGGTAGATCAATGACTTTTTCAAATGACGCTTTGAAAGAATGTGATCCCAGATCCGTCTTGTTTATTAATCTGATATATGTAATCGGCTTGGTTATCTTCTGTAAGTTATATCCTTCTCCTTTGAAAATGCTCGTTTCCTGTCAGAAGAAATAGTCATTCAAGGGTATCGCATTCCTCCCCAATAAGTTAATAAACAGAACCACACTGTATTTGCAATGTACGCGTGGAGTTTTAATTGTCACAGCATGCAATACGCCAAGCGTGGCATTCTAACCAACCTGTTGAACTGATGACTTGGTAGATCAATGACTTTTTCAAATGACGCTTTGAAAGAATGTGATCCCAGATCCGTCTTGTTTATTAATCTGATATATGTAATCGGCTTGGTTATCTTCTGTAAGTTATATCCTTCTCCTTTGAAAATGCTCGTTTCCTGTCAGAAGAAATAGTCATTCAAGGGTATCGCATTCCTCCCCAATAAGTTAATAAACAGAACCACACTGTACTTGCAATGTACGCGTGGAGTTTTAATTGTCACAGCATGCAATACGCCAAGCGTGGCATTCTAGCCAACCTGTTGAACTGATGACTTGGCAGATCAATGACTTTTTCAACTGACGCTTTGAAAGAATGTGATCCCAGATCCATCTTGTTTATTAATCTGATATATGTAATCGGCTTGGTTATCTTCTGTAAGTTATATCCAGTCTCCTTTGAAAATGCTCGTTTCCTGTCAGAAGAAATAGTCATTCAAGGGTATCGCATTCCTCCCCAAGTAAGTTAATAAACAGAACCACACTGTACTTGCGATGTACGCGTTGAGTGTTAATTGTCACAGCATGCAATACGCTAAGCGTGGCTGAATATTGTTGTTGTGTTGATGTTGTATCGTTTACCTTAGGAATACATGTACCTGAGGCAATTACTGTTCATTTCGTATGCAACATTACGTGCAACTTTGCATGTATTTGTATAAGGTCAGGCCTAGGGTAGAAGCTTTTTGTGCTTGCCTTCGTCTCGAGTAAACCTCATGCTTCAAAATAACTGTTGCAATACGTAATATGGATAACAGTGGTCCTAACTTAAAAGTTTTACATTTCCTTGTACATCGTTGAAGCGTGAATTGTGCATGTTATTTTTCAGTTATTACTTACTTAGGTCTCTGAAAATTGTTGGTGTCGTATCACAAGCTTTGCGAAAAGTTGGTTTAGTTGTGTACTTCGCACGACATTGTCGTTCTAGGTTACTGCCTCTGTATCCCGTGTTTAGCATTTCGTGTGTGTGCTAATGAAAGTGTTTTCCTTGCTTTCTTAGTTGCAAGAGTACTAGTCACGCTGCAGTCCACAATGTAGTTTTTATTTGTTTGTTTTTTCTGCAGCCCTCTGAGTCCCGTGCTTGCCGAAAGAATAGTAGCCAAGTATTTCCTTTTCACAACTTCGAGTTGCCATACCGTTCCATCATTTGTTGTAGTTTTTATTGTTGGTGTCGGTGGCTCCTTCCTTTCTCTGACGCTGTCCTTTGTATCGCTACAGGCAACCATGCCTGGGTTCGATTTCTTGTTAGCACAATCTTAATGAAATTCTACAAATTCTTGGACAGAGAGAATTCGGTTACATTCTAGTTCACGCACATTTCCTATGCACAGCTTCCCGTGACTCGCAACGCGTGCAGTTGTGTAACATTTTAGTCTGGCCATGGCTCTCTTAACTGATATAGCCTGAGGCCCGAGTGTCTCCCAGTCCTAGTGCCGAAATTCCAGAGGCCAAAACTACCCTGAATCACTTGGCACGAGAGTTGACTATGATAAAGTAGCAAAACAAGTAATAAATTAAATGCTGCTTGAGAGGTTCCTATTTACTTGTGAATTTTTTACAGAGAAGCAAATTCCTGAGGCCTGTTATTCCGTGTAATACGTGATGTGGGCTTATTAATTGAAATTGCGGCGTGAACTGCATATAAATGGATGTGTAATCCCGCTAATCGTCCATGCCAGAATTGAAATATCGAACAAAAACTAACTACTAGTCTTTTTGTTTTGCATGGAATTTAAACTTTTAAACTTTCTGTTAAACTACACTTGCTTCAATGGGCCATTTCCGAGTAG